ATGAGTTTTTAGACTCATAAAGAAACGACTTTAACTAACAATATAATAAGACTTGATAAGAATAAATCTTTCTAGCAAAATGGAAGAGTAAATTCTTTAATTTCTTCAATGAAATTTCTGCTTTCAAAATGTCTGACATTTGTAAAATGTACTTAATGTAAAATCTACAGTTCAAAATATTATAATTTCCCTCTGGGATTATTAAAGTTTCGCTGGTTCTGGTTCAGATTCTGATTATTTTCTGTGACAACTTACGTAATAAAAGAAGAAAATCAAACAAAAGACAAAATTAATACAATATAATTAGATTTCAATGAATAGAACTTGTTGTTAAATGACGGTAAGCTGTCAGTTTTAAATGTTAAAATGATGATGTGAACACAGTCCATTCAATACACGATTAAACATGATTGCATGATTAAATATGATTACAAAAAATAGATTATAAAGACTCTTGTCAAATAGAAAAAAAAACTATTATTTTCCAGTGAAATTCTGGAAGGCAGAAACAAAGAGACCTGTTCATAAAACAGTTTAATTAAGTGATCCTCCACCCTGAATTGTAGGAGTCAGCTTGTGTTTCTCTAATTGTGTTTAGGCCACAGCTCTCGGTACAAAAGAGCCCGAATTCCTGCACGCACGTGTCTCAGCTCCATATTTCAGTCCAAGAACAGTGAATAGGATTACTGGAAGAATGAATTAGCCTCTCCATGCACACATTAAAAACACAAAGAGGGTAATCAGGCGATATTTCCCTGTTTAATGTGCTCTAATGTAAAGTAAGAAATGTCTAGGAACACGATTAGAAAGCAGAACGCTCACAAATCTGATCAGGCTGGGAAATTTTTAGAAAAGAAATTAAAAAGCAAATAATCCTTATTATTTTCAAACAAAAACATATTTTTTATAATTTAAAAAAGTCAAATGTTTTGTGCTTATTCATATATATACATGTGTGTGTTTTAAACGTGTATATCTATGCATATATCTATAATTATCTCAACATATGTAGATGAATTTCAAGATAAGACAGATTTCTAACACTTAGTTATGGTATATCATAGTGTAAAACTTTCAAATTATATGTAGTTTAATGTGAATAAGAAACCATTGATGAGTCGTGTTTATTTATTAAACAGTGGGATGTAAACACAGTTTGATAAGTATGTTGCTACAAACCAGGAAAAGCCAAATGCTTCTTTTTATTCTTCAGCAATCAATAAGGTTTATAGTCTTTATTTTTTATGAGAACTAATCACACAAAAAGCCCCAACTTACCTGTTCTGAACAGCCAAATGACAGCAAAAGTTGACTGTCTTCAGTTTGCTGTTTGGGATTAACACGTTATTTTATTCCGTTTATAACTAGTTGTGGTTGACAGTTATCATTTCTTTTATTCAATACTTTAAATCTCGGATGGTTTCATTGGTCTTTCTCTTAACTGGGGCGCCCTCTTCAGACGTCTTAAGGATGGTTTCGTGCTGCTTCTGACGCTATAATTTGATCGATAACAGCTTTTAGTGTTTCACTTGTCTACTTTTATTTGTATATACGTTTTATCACAACCAAGAATATCTTTGTTTGTTTGTTTTTTGTGTTGTTTTTGTCTTAATCCTTCATATGGTGTCTGGGATGCGTAACTGTTCCAAATGCGTAAAAGTAAGGTTGCCCATTCTTATCATCAATAAGTCTTGATAATAATAACTTTAATGTTCTACATAAAAGACTAAACTGGATTAAACTGGAGAACAGAAGCGAAGTGGATCCCGGAACAGGTGCGCGGGTCCAGACCGGATCCGGTCAGAGTCCAGATCCATCTAGAACCGGCACTAACGTCCCTTTTACGCATCCCGCCGCCACGGTTCCGCGTTCCGAGAAGTTTACCGATATAAAAAAAAAAAGACCAAGAAGGATAACGGATAACTCACCAAGCAAAGTGCAAAGAGCGCGAGCAGGAGCGGCGCGCGCCGCCGCGTCATCCTCCTCCCGGAGCGCAAACTTCCTCTCATTTCCTTTCCCCCCTTTGGCTAACAAATCATAAATCCACTTGTTTATCCGGCTCAGAGCGCGGCCCAGGTCCTCGCGCGCCCCATCGCGCGCCCGCGGGGGTGTGGGGGGGGGGGGGGGGGGGGTGGTTGGGGGGGGGGGGGGGGGGGG